AATCGGCAAAATTCAGTTGGAGCCTGAGGTTTCCATGGAGTGATGGTAGTGATGTGCCCATGTTAATTCCCAGATGGGGGAGGGAGTGAGTTACATTTACATTGGAGAATGTCTTTGTTGGAAATCTGAAAGTATTTGGGGGTGATAGGGAATCAAGTAGGCAAATTTCCAATGACTCAGAGAAAAAGCTTTTTCATTTAGAGTTTTTTTAAAGGAGGTTTTGGAGTAAAACTTCAAGGATCCCAATCTCTATTTTTCTGCCTCCTAGGTTTGGGACCTGGGGCAGGCTGCCTCACCTCTCTGTGCCTCAGTTTGCTCATCTGTAAAGTGGGGACAATGAAAGTGCTGCTTTGCAAGGGTTGGTTTCAGGACAAAAAAGGAGATAAGGCTAACTGAAGCACGTAAAGCTCCTGAAATAGTGTTTCGTACATGGTTGTGGCTAACTTTCATTTAAAAAACTCAATCTCATACCTTTGCATGGAAGGCCTCTCAGCCTGAAAGGTTTTTCTGGGATTTTTGGGTTCAATTACCCAGACTCAGGAAAAGCGAGAAAAGAGGCAGCCAGAGGTTTCAATTTAGGCTCTCGTATCCATCCTGGTCTGTAGTCACCGCCCAGAGAAACCCTTGCTTTGGGGCTCAAGGACATCCAGACCCGTGTTTGGATTCCCAATGAGGTACTCAGGCATGTAGCCTTCCCAGAGGGGTTGCCAAGCAACAAGGCTCTGCTGCAGGAGCCTGGCAGAGCCTTCGGACACTCATCGGTCCAGCCCTCCCTTTTCACAGATGAGGCAATGGAGGCAGCCATGCCACAGGGAGCATGCCCAAGGCTACACAGCAAGTTCAAGGACGGAGCCAGTTCTGGAACCCATGAGTTCAGACTTCCAGGCCGGTACTTTCTCAGCTACTCCATGCCTGGGACCATTTCTGTCTGCTCATTTGAGCTAATACTTCGAGTGATTCCTGTCTGTTCAGGGTCACAATGTCAGGCCCTCTGCATGTGTCATCTCTCCAAGTCCTCAGCTGCCCAAGGCCGTCTCTATAGCCACCCGAGGCCGCACCTAACCACTCCTTTAGGCAGCCTGCACCATCCTGCCCTGTTCCTGTGTCGCCTTCAAGAGACTTTGGGGCAAAAATCCTTGCTCAGTTACAACTTGAAATAGATTGATACCATAGAAACAACTCACAAGTGGCATTTCAAAGCTGATATATTTAAAGTCTAGCACAAGTACCTTTTCTAGGACAGTGACATTATACAGTTGCACATGGCTTATTCTTATTTTGAATCTTGTCATAAAAATATATATCGTGTCCTGAATTGAAGATTCAGATCAGCTAGACTAGCAAAGTTGCCTTCCCTGTAAAAGTTTCTTACAGATGGTTTCCTACCCTTTCAAGAACTTGTATACACTCTGTCCTTCTGGAAGGCTGGGACATGATGTTCTACCGGCTTGAGGCGTTTCCTGTAAAGCCAGCATCCTCAGTAGCACACAGGTGAGACAAGGAGCCACAGCTTTCATTTGTTCACTCATTTATTCACTCCTTATGAAACTGAGATAATGTTTACTGTTGTGTCCAACGACTCTGCTCGAAGGTATTTGTTAGCACTGCAATAGATGATACATAATAGGTGGTGCTGGCTGTGGGCAGGCCTGAGTTCCTTGCCACGTGAACCCCTACCTAGGGCACTGAGTGTCCTCGGGACATAGTGACAGGCCTTCCCGAGAGTGATTTGAATCCAGAGATAACAAGGCTGAAGTCACAGTTTTTTATTTTTGTTTTTAATGAACTCGCCTTGGAAGTCACATACTGTCATTTCCCTAATATCCAGCTGGTTGTGTGGTCAGCCCTATTTAGGGTCACCAGATTTAGCACATGAAAATAAAGGAAGGATGCCCAGTTCCATTTGAATTTCAGACAAATAATGAATAAAATCTTAGTGTATGCCCCATGCAATATTAGTATGTAAAATACTAAAAAAGTCATTCATTGTTTGATCTGAAATTCAAGTTTAACCGTCCATCTTCTGTTACTCTGGAACCCTGTCCTTTTTCAGTGTGCGAAGGGACGTCATGCAGAAGGGCATGAAAACCAGGAGGCGAGGACTCCCAGGGGCACCTTGGACACTGCCTCCCACAACCCTCCCCATGCCAGGTATGATGTGGGGTAAATGGTGAGCAATTAAAAATGATAGTTCCCATACTCATTCAGCTGGCAGTTCAGTAAAACCAACCTGAATCAGATCACCAGGCAAATGCATGCAAAACCCCAACTATGACGAAGTGCTTCAGAAAGAAGCCACTGGAGCTTGGGACAGGCACCGGGTCCTCATCAGAACAACCATCTTTATGTTTTGTAGACTGAGCTTTCACACGTGACTTTGTGTGTCTGTGTGTATGTGTGTAAGGGGTGGTATATGGAAGGTTCTGCCATTAAAAGAAAACAAAATCTTGAAAATACACACACAGCAATACATGCCAAAAATGGAGAAAACCAAATAAGGTCCATGCTCTTGCCAGTTTCCTGGGTTTGATATTGATCCCAGCCGTGCGTCAGCACTGGGGAGGCTGTGCGGACTCTGTACTACTTTTGCAACTTCATATCAATCTCGTTAGCTCCGAATAAAAAATTCACCAACAACCCATTAAAAAAAAAAACAACAGCTGTTACTTAAAAACAACAGCTGTTACTTACAAAGTTCGGTGAGAATAACCCACACTTATGGGAGGACGAGTTGGAGTAGGGCCACTTGGTCAAGGGCATGCCCAGTGAGGGGAGCCAGGGCTGTCACCCGAAGGAGTGGCATTCTCCTTGCTAATCACCCTGAAGTGTTTGCTTAGGGCAGAGAAGGAGGGCAGAGGGTAGGAGATGTCCTCCCGGTTCTAGGCCCACATCTGGGGCTCGGTGGGGCGGGGGGTCGGGGGGACCTGGAGGAGCTCCGTCAGTAGCAAGAACCATCTCTGGCCCCAAGGTGAGGCTGGGGTTTTAGATGACCTAGGTTTGGGGGGGCCCAGAATCACTGTAATTTCAAAGACAGGTCTTCATTTTGTACCCTAATTGAACAGAGGGAGCATTTGATAAAGACATACATTTAACCAAAGAAAGGGAAGACTTGATGAATTCATCGGTTATCTGATGACCTGCAGGTAAGGTTGATTGTTTTTTTATGACTGTGGCTGCTTCTATTTTCTACAGATGGCCACCTGTGTGCCACCGCTCAAGCTCTTCTGCTTTGTGGTCTCACCACGCCGACATCAAGAGAAGTCCGTTTCTCTGTGCTCTTGAATGCAGGCGAGGCCTGTGACGGCTGTGACAAACGAGGGTGAGTGGCACTGGGCCGGTTCCAGGCACCACCCTGAACTGGCTGGCGGCTGTGCCGCTTCCAGCCTCTTGCAGCACTTGCTGTGGGGAGAAACCAGGCGCCGTAACAGAAATCTGACGATCCTGGGACCACCATGCCACGAGGAAGCCCAAGCGAGACGTGTGGAGAGGCCTCATGATAAAGACGCCCAGCAAAAGCCTCTGATGCTCCGACCACCCCAGCCCACGGCCAGACATGCCAGTGAAGGAGCCTCCCATTGACATGAGTCCCAGCCGCCCCCTGGCTGCAAGAACTGCCCTGCACACTCCCCCGTTAACTCCCAGAGCTGAGATTTTGCAATAAATGGTGTCAGGTCACTAAGTTTTGGGGCTGGTTGCTTTTGCAGCAAAAAACAAAGTGGAACAATGAACGGGGCTGGATGTCTTCTGCTTCCCGGCGAGTGTTAACCGTGAGCTTCCTGTGTTCACAACCCTCCGCTGCCCAGCCCAACGCACTTCCTCAAGACAAGGAGAGACAAGAGTTGTTTTGCACCTCGGGTTCATCACGTCGCAAGCACCCCTGCTCACGTCACCCATCAGCCCCCCCTAACAAACCCGGGAAGTTTAACTTCCCTCTTTTGCAAATGAAGAAATGAAGGCTTGAGTCACTCCTCTGATAAATTGGCCCAACTCCAAAATCCGCGCCGCAAACCCCTGAGTCACTTCCTTCCCAAAGCTTCACTATTACCACCTTTAAAGATGCAAACTGGCCCTGGACAGGTGGCTCAGTTGGCTGGAGCGTCACCTTGATGCGCCAAGGTTGTAGGTCTGATCCCTGGTCAGGACGCACCCAAGAGTCCACCAATGAGTGCACTGATAGGTGGAGAAACAGGTCGATGTTTCTCTAAAATCGACAAACGAAAATTTAAAAAAAATAGATGAAGAACTGTTCTGAGCCCTGTTGTGCTCTTAGCCTTTGGGAGCTGAGCAATAAAGGGTTCATGCAGCAGGCTTAGAGAGTTCAAGGCTGGCACAGGCCAAAGAAAGGATGGGCCCCTGACCAACTCTGGGCAATCTCCTCTAAGCCCCCGGAATACTCTGTCCAACAAGAGCCTCTCAGAATACCTGGGACCCTAAACCGCACCAGGCCAGACAGTCTGTGTTGGCGAGGTGACTTGCAGTGGGGACCCTGGATCATGCTCTATCCTGTGACCCCTGCAAGGGCTGTGGACTAAGTAACTGAGGTTAGTCATGTGGTTGCCCTGCGCCTACGTGACTGCTGCCTAATACACAGTGCCGGACACTGAGGCCCAGGTGAGCTCTTCCAGGTGGCAACGCTGAACACATGGGGTCACACGGCACTGCCAGGACAAGGACGCGAGTCCGCAAGACTCCGGAAGCTCACACCTGGGCTCTCCTGGACTCCGCCCCACGGGCCTTTGCCGATTCCAATCTGTATCCTTTCGCTGCAATAAACCATAAACTCGGGTCTAATGGCTTTTCTGAGTTCTGTGAGTCCTTCAGGCAAATCACTGAACCTGAGCTGGTGCCCCTGGGGACCCCGACCCAGGCTGGAGCTGTGCCTGGGGTGGACCCTCCCTCCAGCCTTCACCCGCCACCCGTCCACCCGACCAGATTCTAGCTGCGGAAACAGGACCCGTGTGCTCTGTAAAGTAAGGCACAGACAGACGAGTCCCTCTTCACTATAGTCAACAATATATTTTTTTCTTTGTGAAATTGAGAACTAAGGAGGAATCAAAGAAAGCCTCATATATTAAATTTTTAAATAGATTCTTTGAATTCAAAAATAAGAGTCAATAGCAGAGGCACAGGCTGTGGGCCTTGTCCCGGCCAACGAAGCCACCGAGGCGGTCCTGCGAAGGGGTGGGGGGGGGGGTGGTGGCCAAGTTCCTGCCTTTCTTAAAAAAAAAGTTCTCAAGGGGAAAAATATAAAATACTTAAGTTTCAAAGGCCTGACTACTTCCACACTCTTCGTTTTCTATCCCAGAGTATCCGAAGGCAGAGTGTTTCAGGAAGAGTCCTCCAGGGTCCAGGCTTTGCAAACAGAAGCAAATACATTCCTCGTGAGCAGTCCCGTAACAGCAAGCAATATGCTTGGATTCGAGGTCCGATTTCCACTCCAGCGCAGAGTTTCTGCCCTTCCTGGCAACAGAGCCACTCGCAGAGATCTGAAAGTCGCGGAGAAAGGCATGTTAGGCCCAGAGTAACAGCTCCGAAACAGACCTTTCGTGTCCGTGTGTGTGACTGCAGGGTGCGTGGGCTTCACACATTCACATGAGACGCGAGGGTATCGCTCTGCATCCCGGGCGGCCACAGAGAATTTAAACTACGTTTCTTGGCCACCTCCTCACATCTCCACCTGCACTCGCCTGACCTCACAGATACGCTCTTCTTGTTTATGGAGAGCCAGTGGCCACGATGGCGTGGCACAGGCCAATGAACATTCGGGGGGAAGGGAAAGGTTAGCATTTCCAGGCCAGTGCCTTACTGTAACAGGGAATGAATGTGCTGTACTACTTATACTGGCCTGACTAGCCAAAGAATAGAAGCAAAAGGAGAATGTACTCACGAAGTAAGCTTACAAAAGAATTCATGTAAAGCAACCCATGTTGCTCTTAGTAAATGTTAAACCCAGCTTGTTACTCAAACCTGATTTTTCTCTCGAAGCTAGAGCCTACATGTTAGAAGCATTTTTGTTTTGTTTTGACTGTACTTTGCCACTCAGCAGTTTCCACTGCTGTGTGAACCTAGGAAGCAGCCTGACCTCAGGACCCCAGGAGTTCAGCTGCTGGGAAGTCAGATGGCACCGCAAGGACGCTGACCACAGAGGTGTGTACAGGGACCAGCAAGGATGCTGCCCGCATGACCACAGTCCCCTCCCCACCCCCCGATTCTTTGATTCTGCCTCCCCTCTCCTTCCTGATAAAACCCTCCACCCCCGCCCCGCCTGCAGTGAGATGTTAAGATGGGCTTTGGGACAAGAGTCTCCCATCTCCTCAGGTGGCAGGCACTTGAAGAAACCCCTTTCTTTCTCACCAGCACCTGACTCATGAGTTTGGCTTTCTCTGCAGCTGGTAGCAGAACCTGTGTTTGGTTAAATCTCCCGGAATTAACTAACGTGTCCTGTACGCAGAATCTCGTTGTAACAGTGAAGCAACAAATATTTGGCTTTTGGTACAGAGAACATCCAGAATTCTAATAAATTGGTAGAAACAGAGCAAGGGAAATAAGAGGAAGAGAAAAACATGGAGAAAACCTGTTTTCCATATGAGGGTTCTTTTCTCTGGAATTAACCAGAACTCCAGGATCTTAGCACAATTTAAGATGGGGACCCTGGTGGCCCTGGCTGGGTCAGTCAGTTGGTCACAGAGTTGTCCCCATACGCCAAGGCTGCAGGTTCAATCCCCGAGCAGGGCACATATAAAAATCAGCCAGTGAATGCATAAATAAGTGGAACAACAAATCGATCTTTCTCTCTCCCCCCTTCCTCTTTAAAAATCAATTTATAAAAAAATGTGCTCCCTCCTAAAATGGGAACCTTGGTGAATGAAAGGGACTGAGTGTCCCCAGCCCTGCAGGCTGGGGCAAAGTGGATTTTGTTTTTAAGATGAAAAAATTTGCTGGTTATTTAAAAATGAGACTAAAACTAGAGTCTGGGCTAGAAGCTCTCTCTCCATTTAAAAGACATGGGGAAATACCCGTGCATGTCAGTGACCTTGAACCTGATCAGGGAGGCTGAGGCACGTGGGGAAGGGAGCTCAGTCACCGGACCCCACTGCCCGGGGCCACGCCAGGGCACAGCCCTCCCCCCGGTCGGCTCACTTTGTCTCCCGGTCACCCTTGGCGTGGAAAAGGGAGGCTGAGTCGAGACAAACCTGAAGTGAGATCTGAAATCTCTGACTTCAGTTCAAACCCAAGTTCAGAACCCATTCCACTACCCCTTAGCAAAACACGGATGGGTACATGCGCACTTAAAATCAATTGTTAAAAGCGAACTCTGGGGGATAAGTCTGCCATTTGGTGACTGCCTGCCTCGGGCGGGTCGAGGCCCTCCTCTGGGCTTGGGCTTTCTGCTCTGTGAAATGGGACGGTTGTGCCGCCCGCCTCCCAGGGAGGCTGAGGGTTAAATGGGCACACGGGAACGCTTGGCCCAACGCTGCAGGGGTTATTCTTAGACCAGAACTGCTTGTGGCTATTATCGGAACATTAATTGCTTTGGGCCAAACCTGCGGCTGTTTATAGAAGCTGGACTAGCATTCTGTGCAAAAAACGGCTGTAGAGTCCCCCATCATGCTGGTCCTCAGTGCACCCCCCCTAGTGCCAGACAAACTGTTTTCTCCTTGGCTCAGCAGTGATCCCTGCCTCCAACCCTGTCCAGGGCTGGCAGACCAGCCTTGCTTCTATGAATAGCTCCCCAGTCTGTCACCATGGAAACCTCCCGAGGGCTAGGTCAGGCCACCTTGGGGGCACTCCTCCCCAGGGAGCCTCTGGAAGAACAAGCTTTTCAGAAAAGTGGCCCCTGGGCTCAGAAGCGGGTCCCCGACGAGGGCCTACCTGGAAATCATGAGCTTCCCAAGGGGGAGGAGGTGCTGTTCTGGTTCACCTGGAAAAGACGACACACAAGAGGAAGGGGTCACGGCCAGGTCGGGGTGCCAGGGTCTCACTGCCCTGGGGTTCACCCCTCAGCATCACAGTCAGGCACATACACACTCACCCATCGAATATCCACTGCACACCTACTACGTGCCAGGTGCTGGGGTACGTGAACCCGACAGACCCAATCTTGTGCTCGTGTAGCTCACATTCTGAGGGGGAGAGAGACCGTCAAGCACACGCACAGGGAAGACGATGTCAGCCCCGGGCAGCACAATGCGCCGACAACAGAATGGACCGCCGCTGGGGCGAGTGCACACAGGTGCCCAGGGCAGGCCGCTCAGGGGACACCCTTTAGGCTGCAGTGCGAGGAAAACCTCCGGTCTTTGTCCGGGTTTCGGGCACACGGCTCCTAAAACCCTTGGAACCTCCGAGCATCTTCTGTGCGCTAATGAGATGACTACCGCTGGGGGACCCAAGGGAGTACCGGGGCGGGGGGGGGGGGAGGGATGGTCACCAGAAAGACCCACGCATGATTGAAGGGCTGGGAATTCCAGCCCCATGCCCCCCCGGCCTCTGGGGAGGGCAGAGGGGCTGGAGATTGAGTTACTAACCGACGGTCAGTGACTGAATCAACCACGCCTACTTCGGGAAGCCTCCGCGGCAGTCCCTCCGTGACGGGTTCAGAGCTTCCAGGTCGGTGAGCACACGCAGGTGCCCGCAGGCTGGTGCACCTGGGGCGGGCATGCACGTTCCGCCCCTTCCCCAGCACCTTGCCCCGTGCATCTCCTCCGCCTGGCTGTTCCTAAATTGTATTCTTTATAATAAAACCATAATCTAGGAAGCATAGTATTCTCCCGACTCCTGTGAGTTGTTCCAGAGAATTACCAAACCTGAGGGGTAAGGGGTGCAGGAAACTCCAAGTGTGTAGCTGTCTAGGCAGAAATGTGGGTATCCTGCGTACCCCACTGCAGCTGGCCTCTGAGGTGGGGGCAGCCTCTCGGGATGGGGCCCTTAGACTGCAGGGTCAGAGGTTGTCTCTGGGCGTCGGGGTCAAAACCGAACTCAGCACCCAGGTGGCGTCCAGAGAACTGGTTGTTACTGTTCGAAAACACCCCATAAGCAAAGCTCTACAAGATGAAAATGAGTCCAGCCACGCAGAGCTCGGCGTGGAAAAGCATCCCCGGCAGAGGGAACAGCCAAGACCTGGAAGGGGGAGGGGGTTTGGAGCCTAGGGAGCAAGTATACACTTTTGCATTAGTTGCAATTCTAGTGCGTGAGCTGCTTTGTCTTGCTGGGTAATACTTCCCCATGTTTTCGGTTTCACGATGACCATTTTGGACGGCCACATATGGTGCTATACAATGCCACGTGCCACCGTTTACTTAACTGTGGCCCTACGGGCACTTCCAGTTTTTGCAATATCCTGCCGGAAGTGGCTTGCACGGGGGAGGGCCGAGGAGGGGAGGAGGGCGGAGAGCGGCGTGCAGGGCGGCTCTCCAGGTGAGTAGCGCTGAGGACGACGGCAGAGCACACGCCATCCCTTCACACTGCGTTCCTTACGGAGCGGAAAAACAGCCCGGGGCCAGCCGGTTGTCCTGGACACGCCCTACACTGCAGGGGGCCAGAAAGTGGTCCAACTCTTTTGTGAAACAGTTTTAGCTTCGTAGTTCGTCACAAAAATATTTGGACCCTTCCACCCACTGATTCTGCTCCTTAAAAATGTATTCCAAGGGGATGAGTCAAGAAAGCCCCGCCCCGAACCCCTTGCCAAACAGAAGAGAGGCAAGACTAGGGTGCTGCACACACAGCATCATTCTGGATAAACTGTAAATGGCCTCAGGCAACAGCTAAGTAACTGGCGGCACGTAAAACACTGCCTTCCAGAGAGGACTGCGGGGTCACCCAAGATTGCAAGCGAGAAACCCACTGTTTTACAGACAGAGCAGCTCATACACTGGAATCACCGCGAACGCGAAAGTGCCTGTTTGGGCAGGCAAAGAAAGGCGACGGGCAGAAACGAAGAGAGTTTGTGATTGCGGCTCACTCCTCTCAGCCCTGCCTCTGTTTGCTACTTGCTACATCACTGCTTTGGTTAAAACAGGTAAGACATGAATGCTAACTAATTCCGGCAACATGATTTCACAGCGGCAAGCGACGGGCCCTGGACACCCACAACGGGAGTGTGGGCCCCTCCCCCAAGAAGGGAGGTGTGCACAAAAGCCGAGTCCCCGGGCAATCGGACTCCTTGACTTCGGTCATTAAACAAGGGACTGGCGCAGGGTGGCCCGCCCTTTATTTGCCAAATGAAACAAAACACACACACATTGCAAGGACGGACACTGGCAACCGCCACTTCACTCACAAGGGAGCGCCGTACCACCAGGAGGGCTGCTGTGATGGCGGTCCAGGGGCAGCTCTTGCCACGACCCGTGGACCACCTCCCAGGGACGGGGGACATCCCGGACGCCCGAGCCGCACAGCCGAGGGGATGTGCGTGGGGCGCAGGAGCGCACGTGCGTCTATGTCGCACAGATGCCCACACCGCCTGACCCTCACTGTTGTCCTTCCTCGGTAGGCTGATGAACATTTAGCGCTGGGTCGTGTTTGGGAACTGCTGCTTTAAATAAAACTGAATGTAAGCCTAAAGACAGAAAGGTACCACCAAGTCCCCTCCAACTGCATTTAAGCCAGGAGACCAGGTGAAGGGAGGGGCCCAGGCAGTGGGCAGCGGAGACCGGCCCCGGCTGGTCAGACGCTTAGATAACCTCTGGCTGGACCCCCGCCCACCAGGTTTTCTGGTGGGGAAGCTGACCCCCACAGGAGAGAAGCGAAGTACACAAGGTCGCGCAGCTAGCTAGTGGCACCGCCGGGGGAACAGAATCCAGAATGCCCCTGGGGGTTCTAACCTGAAAATATCCTTTCAGACTGGCTGGTGTTTTATAGTCCCCTTTCAAGACCTGAGAAAAAGAAAAAAAAATCACTCTCATGGAAATGGTCAAAAAATAAAATTTAGTTCATTACCTCCACCCCCATCCACCCTCCCACCTACCCATCCATCCTCTTATCTATCCCTCCATCCACTTATCCATCCATCCATCCATCCATCATCCTCCCTCCCTCCCTTCCTCCCTCCCTTCCTTCCCTCCTCCCACCCATCTAACAAATATTTATTGAGCTCCTCTTATTCCAAGCATTATCTAAGCTCGGGGGGGTACAACATTAACCAGACAACTAAAATTCTCGGTTTCAAGGAGCTTCCACGTCTCAGGGGTAGCCAGGCAATCCACACGTCACAGCAAACACAAATAAGGAAGAGCCTATCAAAACACTGAAGTGCTACAGAGAGTAAAACAAGCGATTGGTCAGGGGTGAAGGGGCGGCTTGTCTCTAGTGGTGCTCAAAAAGGGCCTCTTGGAGCAGGTGACCTTTGAGCTGCGACCTCGGTGACAAAGAAGCCCAGCCAGGCTGCGCGGAAGGGGAAGCATTCCAGGCAGAGGACGGGCCGGGACGAAGGCCCAGAGGCGGGCAGCAGATTCCAGGCTCTCACCGTCTCGCAGCACAAAGGCCAGTACAGACCGGCGCCGTCCAGAATGCCATGTGAACCAACTGTGCAATTTAAAATTTAGTAGCCACATTTTTTTTAAATAAATTTTAAAAAGTGAATCAGCTAAAATTAATTCTAGTTGTATCTTTCATGTAACCCAACAGATCTAAAATGTCCACATAACATGTAATGAAAGTAAAAACGACCAATGGGAAATTGCGCATTTTTTTCGTGTAAAGATGGAAGGACTGTGTGGCACTCGCCGAGATGGCGGGACCCCCTGGCAGGGGACCTCTTGGAAGAAAACTGGGAACATCTTCCATGTTAAACACACAACACAGCTGCAGGAGCCCAGCTTAATCATCTGTGCACATCGGAATTTTTTATGCAACACGCAGGGTCAGGCCTTGCTCCAGGAGCTTCTGACCCCACCGTCGGGAAAGACAGGGCCTCCCGACCCTGAGGTCTCCCCACCTTGTAAAGAGACCTCAGAGGAGCCGCTGCTGGGCCTCGGGCCTTGTCCTCCACCCCCACCCCCACCGCTGCTTCTGAGAAGCACCCCGGGGGCGGGGGGCTGGATGTCAAAGTCATTTCAGGAAGATTTCTGCTCCTTTCTGACCAAGTTAATTAATTTTTTAATTGTGAAATATAGCCTACGTACAGAAAAGTATATCAAACACCTAAGTACAGTTGAATGAATAATAACTATTGTTAAAAAAATAAACACATGACAATAAATATTGATCATAAAAATGGTCAAATAAAACACACCCAGGCTGCAAACAGACACACTGTCTCTGTGGTCTGGGTGTCTACACTGGGTCTCTGCGAACCTCCACAAATAGACGTTTGCAAAGTGCACCAATGTCATGGGAAAGAGGAAGCAGAGACCCAAAAACGGGCGTGCGCTGCCCCCAGCACGGAGGGCTGGCAAACCCTCTCTGAGACAACCGGAGCTCGCCCGCCCTGGGAAGGTGTTCAAGACTCGTCAGCACCAGACGGGGTCTTTCTCCTTGCGTCCACGGAAGGAGTCAAGGAGACCTGAGAGAGGAATGACTTTCTCCCTTCTCGATGCAACACCAGGACTGTGGCAGCGTGTGTTTAAAAGGCTGAGCGCAGCTTCGGTGCAGACTCCGGGGGGCCGGCGGGGCCCCTCCTCTGGCCCAGGTCCCATCCTCACATATTTCCTCTGACTTAGTGCCCATAAGGAAGTCAGAACACAGCACCCAAAGAAAACTAGAAGCTGTGACAGCAACATGTAAATAAGAACACGAACTTGTGAACTTTCGTTGATCCAGAATTAGCCTACTTGTTTTACGCTTTCGAAACGTCTCTTCGAAGTCGTTTTCCTTGACCACCTTAACTACGGGGAATTTAAAAAGTAATTCAAGCTGTCCTTCGCTCATGCTTGTCTGAGAAATCAACATTAAAAACCTTATGGGGAAATAAAGGGACCAAGAGTTTATTTATGCCCAGCGTCAACAAAGACTCGAAGTGCTTTAATACACAGACAAAAAAAAAAAAAGCCAAAGAAATAGGTGGAAAAGAGTAAGAAAGTGTAGAGAAATAAAGCAAAATAAGTGCACAGATGGGCCTGTGAGTTAGATTCGAAGAGGTGAAAGATAGTCAGCTTTGAGCTTCCTTGTGGTCTAAGCAAAAAGGGAAATACGAGCAGCCACACGATTCACCACGGCCATGACTCAGGAATCAAGAGACTGATTTTTCTGATAGCCGGGGCTCTTGCACCCCTGCCAGGGCCCGAGAGCACACCTCCCTGCGTGCACGCGCACTCACCCGGTGCGTGTTGTTGATCACGATGGGGTCCGGGTTGCCGTAGTTGGGAGGGTTCGCGTAGGGGTCATATCCAAGCCGAGCCAGCATGGGCGCGATCTGGGCCATGTCCCTCACCACGTCCCCAGGGATGTGACCAGTCCACTTGGAGAGCGCTTCCAGGTTCACAGGCTTGATGACCTGGTCTGTGGATCGCTCGATCCTGGAGAGAGAGGACAGGCTGGAAGGCACCCGGCAGGCTCCCTGCTCCGTCACTCTGGGGCAGCAGCAAAGACGGGGGGACCGGGCCCCCAGCCAGCTCGGCCTGCAGCAACTGCAGTCGTCACCTGGCCTCGTCCCACCCCCTCTGTGCAGTGGGGGTAACAGCGTGTGATGGGAGGTCGGAGGACGGTGCTAGGCAGTGAACACCGGTGGTGCTTAAATCCCGCCTTCTCGACGTCTCTGACCTTTTACAAATAACCTTTTACTCATGTGACAGAGGTGGATATTTTGTTCGTGAGAAATAATTATCGAACACTAATGGTGGGACTAAGAGTCCCTCTGGTTACCACTCCCAGCCGTCGGCTCCCTGCAGGGACCCGGTCTCGGCATTCTGGAGCACGACCTTCCAGTTCCTTCTCTGTAATTTAAATAGTAGAGCGGCTAAGAGCTGACTCAGCAGCCAGAGTGTCTGGGGCCAAATGCCAGCTGTACCAACACCAGCTGTGTGGTCTTGGGAGAGTTACTACTCCTCTCTGAGCCTCAGTTTCCGCCTCCGTGAATGGGAATAATGATAGTATCCACATTATTGGTTGGGCTGTTATTGGGGATAAGTACGTTAATAACAGAAGAGTATATAGTACACTGGTGTCAGCTGTCTCTCTCTCCTTTCCTCCCCTACCCCCACACAGAAAATCTATAATTTTGCCCATAGTTTCTGAAACAGAAATTATATGCTATATGTATTGGTTACTGTTTTTTTTTTCTACTCAACACATTCTTCCTTCCAGCCGTGCAGCATCCCTGCACAGCTGCTTCTTCCATTCCCAGACACTGAGGTTGTTTTCTGCTCTGCGCTGTAACAACAGACAACCATCACCTTCCGTGTGCTTCCTTCCTGGCCCCTGGACCTGGCTTACCCAGCCGTCTGGCTCATGGCGATCCGACCGGGTACACTCCAGGGGCCTTGCAGGATGCATGGGCTTTTTCTAGGTGCTCCCATCCCAACTCAGAGATAACTTGGGGGAAAGAACAGAAACAAAAAGGAGGACAGGACCGGGAGTGAGGCCTGGGGAGGGGGCAAGGATGTGGACAGGTGGGAAGAGCAGGGACTTGGAGTCTGCAGACCTGGATTTAAATCCCGACTCCAGCCAATGTGTCAAAACTCTCCAATACATGCATAGGCTCTGCCACAACCCTCGTATCTCCAGGACGGAAATAACACAGATGCATCTCAGAACGTGAACGGGAGCAAAGCGCGATATGAAGCAACAAAACTAGAAATAACCCACGAATAGGAAGTGGTGACAGAACAGAGCGATGCCCACAGTGCAGTGCTGCGCAGCCATCCAAAATGACGCGGCGGAGGAGCACTCGGGGCCACGGGGGAGCGGCCCCAAACACAGAGGGTCACAGAGGAATACGGTCGGTAGGGCTCCGGCTCTGTCAGTGGCCCCCGACCAAGGACCAGCAGGCCGTACATCAAAATCTGGGTGGTGGGATTACGGGTTTTGTTTCTTGTTTTGTGTATTTCTTCCATTTCCCTACAATAAAGATGTGTTTCTTTGGTAATCTGGTGTTTTGTCACGAGGATTTACAAAATCTCAGCTATAGCACCTCCTCACCAGGGTGACGCGCCCCGCTGGGATCAGGAGCTCTTGGGGATGGAGCCTGGCAGGACCCAGCCGTGAAGGAAACCGGGAGGCGGGTCCCGGGAGGGCCACCCTTTCCCTGGGGTCTCCAGGGTGCCCCGGCCCGATCAGGACGGAGACAGGGAGCTGGCTCCCTCTCATCCTGCCCTGTCCCTGTGCTCCGGGTCTCAGCAGAGGGCCGGCCTCCCGAAGGAGGAGGGCAGACAGCACGGGGCCGAAGGAGGGAGGACGAGGCTGAGCACACACACCCCGGAGTCCAATAGGCCTGGGCCCGGACCCCAGCTGCACACGTGGCTGGCTGTGTGGCCTGAGGCCAGCAGCTTCTCCCCTCTGAGATTCAGTCTCTTCATCTGCAAAAAGGGGATAAGCGAGCTCCCAGGTCTTCAGGTGGCTGTGGGCATTAAAGGAACAATGTTTGTTGGGGGCTTCACTCAGTGCCTGCCACACAGCAGGCACTTACTATTGGGCAGCGATGGTGAGGAAGATGAGTGTTCCAATAAAACGGTGTCAACACTAACAATGACAATAATAGTAGCCCCGGACATGCGTTACCGTTTGGTACTCACAGGTGTCTAGTATCTGTAAGGTAGACAGATTAGAGCCCCGTGTTACAGATGAGGAAACGGAGGCACAGAGAGGTCGAGTCCCTCGTTCAAGTCACACAGCTGGGACGTGGCAGAGCTGGGATTCAAACCCAGACAGCCTGGTTCCAGAATCTGTGTCCTCAACCTGTGCTCACTAAAGCCTTCCTACGAAGCACATTCGAGGCTGGCTGATTCTGTCAGAAAAGAGAAGAGAGCTGCCCCATTTTTTTGGGACAATGAAGCTGAACCGCAGAGAGGTACAGTGCCTTGGCCGATGCCCCACAGCTCAGAGACAAGGAGCCCATCATCCCACCGAGGGCCTCCCATCCCGGGACCAGGGACCTGGGCGGACCGTCAGGGGGCCCACTCACCTGGACAAGGAGACGCCGCCAGGCTTGCCGATGAGGTCCTCGTGGTGCAGGACGGCGTCGCTCCAGGCGATGCCGAGGAAGTCGAGGATGAGCTTGAGGGAGCGCCGGGGGTGCAGCACCAGCTGCTCATAGTACACCGGAAGGCACTTGTCCCTGCCCACCTCCATGCACTGGGAGTACATCACCTCGATGGCCTTGTTCCACTTGGTGAGGCAGTCGCGGTAGCTGCTGAGGTCGAAGCCTGCGATGGTGACCTTCCGAGTGATCATGGAATGCACCGAGGCCCGGCCGTCCCGCACCATCAGCAGGAACTTGGAATTGGGGAACAGGCGCGACAGGTAGACGGAGGACTTGAGCGTGAAGGGGTCCTTGTTGCAGAGCACGCGGGCCGGCTCGCCGTGCTTGGCGATCACCTCCAGGATGAAGGCCTGCATGGCGGCGTCCAGCACCTCGTCCGTCACGCCCGCCTCGTCCAGCCGCTGCTTCTCCTTGCTGGACTTGGACCAGGCCTGGCGCATGGCCAGCACGCGGGGGATGATGCGGGTCTCCTCGCCGCAGCGCACCTCGGGGTGGGCGTCCAGCATGGCGCGCATCAGCGTGGTGCCGCTGCGGGGCACGCCGCCCACGAAGATGAGCGGCATGGCCTTGCCATAGCGGTACTCCTCGTGGTCCATGCCCATCATCACCAGGTCCTCCTGCTCCGGCCGCATGGTGCGCCGGCGGCTCTGCAGGCCCGCCAGCGCTGCCCGGCACTCCAGCATCTGCTGCCCCAGCTGGACCGCCAGGACCAGGGCCAGGGCACAGCCGGCTACCAGCAGCGCCCTCCGCACCGACAGGCGCATGCTGGGCCTGGGGTGGGGGGCCTGCTTTAGCAACAGGTCAGCGGGAGGCCCACCGGGCTCACATCTGGGGAGAGAGGGACGGGGTGGTCAGGGAGGCCTGCCAGCTGCTGAGCCTTTGCCATACAGACCCCGATGACAGCAAACGTGAGGATGGTGACCATCACAGCAGAGCAGTCATTCGCTGGGCTGGGCACGTCACCTACGTGGTCTCATCAGGTCCTCCGACCACCCTACAGGTAAGTGCTATCGTCACCCCGTGGGGAGCCTGAGAGCCTGGGTTCAAATCCCTTCTCACCGCCTCCTCAACCACGTGATGCCTCAGTTTCCTCACCTGATCGGTGGAGGGAGGAAGTATTTTTAAACTGACCATCGAAACGTGGAACAGACAAGCTGTGGCAATCAATAACGCCCCGGAACATCCGAGTCCAGCCGCACATCCTTCCCGACAGGGTTTTGGCCTGTTTTGTGCTTGGCTGTCTCCCAGTGCCGACGGCGCCTGGCGCTTAGTAGGTGTGCCGCACATGTTCATGGATGCCCCTTGGGTGAATGAGCAGGGCCTGGCACAGACTAACTGCTGTGAAATGATCACTGTGGAGGTTGCTCACGGGCCCCCCGCGCGGCAGCAGCCAAGCGGGGGTCCAGAGTGGGGCCCAGGCCAGCCGGCCCCGGTCTGCTCTGAATGAACACGCTCTGCCTCTGCACGAGACGCTCTTCAGGAGAAGGTACAGAATACCCTGGTCTGGGCTGCTTCCAGAACCCTCATCCACTCAGTCTTCGTTCAATAAATGCTTACGAAACTCGGGACGGTGCCAGCACTGCGTTCAGAACTGGGGACAGGAGAGCCGATGAGACTGCCAGGCCTCTGGCCTCCAGGAGCTTATGTCCCGGCAGGGGATGCAAACGGCACGCCAGCTATGGCAGGACTGTGGTAACGGCTTGCAAAAAAATCAGCCAGACGCCGTAGGAGGGATCGAGTAGGGAACGGAGGAGGGAGAGCAGGCAGGGAGGACCTCCCGGAGGAGGTGACAAACAAGCCAAGACCTGGATGAGAAGGAGCCAGCCATGTGAAGATGTGTGGGAAGGGTGCTCCAGGAAGATGAAACAGGGTGCAAAGACCCCAAGATGGGAGAGGTGTGGGGTGTTCAAGAACCTAAAAGGAGGCTTCTGGGGTCGGGGAGGGGTGGAAGGGGGAAAATGGGGATGCTGCTAGGCAGACCCTCGGGGGGAAAGGGGTGGCCCTGGAAAGAGGGCCTGCAGGCGAGAGGACGCAGGTGGGGAGGTGAGTCTGGAGGCTCACGCTGGAGTTCTGGAACTGGGGTGGGGCTGATGTGGGAATGGGGGGAGGGCATAACTTAGGACATGAACTATAACCCTGACCCTGTGCTCCTCACCGCCCCCCACCGCCTCCCCCGGGCACTGCACCAAAGACAACCCGACTTCAGTGCCAACTCTTTAGGTAGGGGTTGGAAGAGCAGGGCCCACCCAGCCCAGCCACTCAATCTCTGGTCACTTCCAGGGACAGATCTGCCCTCCTCCCCAGTTTACCCGCAAGGCCCTTCGACTTTGCAGCCAAAGCCAATACAGGACATGCAGACTCAGACGCCGGACACTCAGCCAACCTCCATCCACACCAGCCCCTCTCTGCCCAGCCCCTGCCATGTCTCTGAGACTTTGTGTCCTCTCCCATCTCTCTCCAGAATCAAAGCCAGGGCTTGAGGTTTCTGAGCATTCAAAGAATCAGGCAGACCTGGGTTCAAATCCCAGCTCTGCCACTTCCTATGTAGCTGTGTGAGCTTGGGCAACAGACTTTACCTCTCTGAGCCTCATCTGGAAAATGGGTCTAAGGGCGTTGACATCAAAGATTAATAATGAACATTAGACGACCCCCCCCCAAGTAGTTAAGAATGTGCTTAGTACATAGGAAACATTAGAAGGAATATCAGCAGTTTCTACCATGATAATTGGTTATTCATTTATTCTAACATTTAATGAGCACCTACAGTGTGCCAGGAATTGGGCTATGGAGCTAAGAGACACAACACAGTCTCAGCCCCCCAAGTCCGCGCACGCCACGGACCGACACCTGGGAGGGGTGGCGGGTTCTACGGTGTGGGTGAGGGAAGGCTTCCTGCGGGAGGCAGCCCCCGTGCTGGGTTCTGAACAGTGAGCAGGTGAGGTTCTGAACAGCCAGGTAGAGAAGAGAGAGAAGAGTGTTCCTGGCAGAGGGGACAGCCAGTGCCAAGTCCCACATGACTGGGGAACTGCCGGCAGCTTGGGGAGCAGTACAGGGTCCGGAGGGAGGGAAGTGGGGAGACAGCATTCCCCTTTGGACACCCGGGTCAGCCGACACCACCACAGGACCATTCCACCCCTAAGGGCGCTGCCTGCCTGGTGCCCTTCGGCCCGCAGCAAATGGAAAATAAACACCCAGGTCCTGGGCCTGGGGTGGAAACACCTGAGAGGCCCTAGCATTTCCTGGCCACGTGGCTTTGGGAGAGTCACTTCCTCCATCAAAGCCACAGTTTCCTTCCCTGCACAGAGGGGTGGGTCCACTGACCTCAAAGGTGCTCGGAGGGTTCTAGAAGGGACCGACAAAGCAAGGATGGGTCTCCTCCTGGGGTCATTGCCCCTGAACATCAGAAACTGGCTGGGGACCCTCTCCCCAGAAACTTGCTACTGATAATCTTGGAGCTCACAGGTGCCCTGAATTCAGGCTCTGAGGTGGGGAGTTTAATTCCGGGGCTACTGTTGGCGGGGGGCAGGGCAGAAGAGGACGCACAGCCATTCAGGAGTCCCAGAGGGTCCCTCCGCTTCTTCAGGTGCTCACTGAAATGCTCTACTTCCACCAGAGACTAGAGTTGTGCAGATGATGATGATTATTATTACTTCAGTGTCAATACCCCTGGGGACCTGTCCATCACACTTTAGTTTGAATTAGCATAACCCCCCTTTCTTCCCAACACTTAGTGGGGAGTGAGAGAACTGAGATCTGAGGGAACAGAGGCCCATGGCAGGGTCGAGGGCGAGGGCGGATGCAGAGAAGGGGAGAAAAGGTGGTAATCTGGGAAAGATCTTTCCAGAAAGGGAAGGTGGAGTGGGCACATCACTGTGCACCCAGTAGTCCCCTTCTCCTGGCAATACCTTCCACGACCACCCCCCGTGCATGCCTGAAACTGCAGGTGGTCCCAGGCACTGCATATATGGTGTTTTTCCTATCCGTACACACCTGTGCAAAGTTTAAACTACTCTCGCACTTTGGGCCATTACTTAGTACAGTCAGGGTTCCGTGAACGCAAGCACCGGGGGAGCGAGCACTCGTCTCTGACAGTCGAGAGGGCTGCTGGCGGGCGGGGAGAGCACACACACGGCTGGAGGCGCCGGACAGAGGGAAGGCTCACGTCCCAGATGGGGCTGCGGGAGACTTCATCACACCACTCGGAATGGTGCACCCTTTAACACTTAGGAATTGCTTATTTCTGGAACTTTTCATTTAATATTTTTGGGCCACAGGTAACTGAAATCACAAAAAGAGAAACCAGGGATCGGGGGCCACTACTGGCCTTTCGAGCCTCTTCGGGGTTAGATATGATTTGGATGCTAAAGGCCAGGGGGGAACCCCTGGGAGAAGGGACAAACAGAATAAGAAAAATGTCATCAAGTCGCCAGCTTTGCATAAGACTGGTCCCTCATGCGGCAACAGCACTTTGAAACAAAGCCCCCAGGTTTTGTGTTTTCACACGTGTTGAGCACGGACTGTGCTAGAGCTTTCTCCACGTGTCATCTTGGAGGTCCCCTCTGACCTCCGGGGCCGGCATGACTCTCCCCAGCAGCTCAGCGAGAAGAAGCAACCTGCCCAAGGCCCCCCGGCCGGGAGACCAGGCCAAGGACAGGCCCCAGCAAGAGGCCCGTCGCTGCCACCAGAGGAAAACAGCTCAAAGCAGGCGGGTCAGACGAGAGCAGAAGACAGCCAAGACCTGGAGGGCGGCTGGAGGAACAAAAGCAGGGCGGCCTGACAGTGGCGACCCACGACACAGAAGTCAGCCTCCTGGGCACCCAGAGCCACTCCCGGAGGGGCCCGAGGGTGCGGCCCAGGCCCCTGGGCCCGTCCCCCACCCACCGCCCCACAGGCCTCCGTCGAGGGAGGCGTCCTGGTGACCTGGCAGTGGCGAGGGGGGGTGAGAGCCTCTGACTCGAGGCCCTCCAGCTCCGGGCTCAAATGCCCCTTCTGCCTCTTGCCAGCTGGTGCCTGGGCGAGGAACTCCATTATTCCGAACTTCCGTTCCCCTCTCCAAAAATAAGAAGGACGTAAGAATAACCTTTTCTTGGGGAGCTCTCAGGAGGTTTGGGGAACTTGTGTGTGAAGTGCTGAGCGAGGACCACTAAGCGCTGGTAAAAGGGGGTGCAGAGGGTCTGGGGTCCGGCTCTGCCCGGGAGGCTTGCTGAGGTGTCCAGTAATGGAGGCCGGGGGTGTGCCGGTGACCGCGCCCAGAGGCTCCGGGGGACTCCGGCTGCACTCACCTCTCCCAGGCACTCTCAGCCCTGGACTCCAGCCCCCAGGACCGCTCACCAAGGCCGCCTGCCCGCTGGCCCCTGCAGAGCAGAGGAGATGTGCATCGGGGGTGGGTGCCACGGACAGGGCCTGGGACCCTGAGAGGAGCCCAGTGGGGCGTGACTTGGGGGGGAAGTGCTCTGGGGGACAAGGTGCAGCACAGGGTGACACCCTCTCGGCCCAAGATGTCACAGCTGGGGGGGCTGATCCCTCCCGGGCCTACAGGGAATGAAGCTCTCAGGGTGTGAGCTGAGAATCTGAACTGGGGTGCCACTGTGTCAGGGTGCCCCAGGTCTCTGTGTACCCATTTTACTGACAGTGCAACTGAGGTCCAAGAAGGGACACCACTGCGCAGAATCGCAGGCCAAGTCTGAGGCCCAGCTTCCACCCTCTGGGTCTGCCATCCCAGGAGGCGGGGGTGGTTAAGAGTGAGGCTTGGAGTCGGACGACTCCCTGACTACGCAGTCTGTCTCTCCTCTGAGCCTCGGTTTTCCGCTTCTGTAAAACGGGCCGCA